ACACACTCAGACTGAGGTCAAAGAAAATAACAGCTAAATGTGGAAAAACAGATTGCTGTGCTAAGCAGGATTGGGAAAAAAAAAAAAAAAAAAAAAAATCTTGTAATAAATTAGCCTTTCCCTATTCCTAAAAAAACCGATGGACTTTTGAACTCCAAATCCTAATTTATCAGCAATAAAAATAAAAATAAACATATTCTTGATAACTTTTTATGTGACTTTTACGTCAGACTGTCTTTTAGGGGTCCAAGGGTCCGATCATGTCACTGATAGTAGAGATAGATTTCTACTTAATTCAATTAATGATCAAAGTCCACGCAAATAAGTTACGGAATGACCCGAGTGATCATTGTAAAGACTGGACTTTGATCAGTCAATAAAATGGAATAAAATAGGCTAAAACACTTCACAATGACACAAATTGTCTCGTCATGTGTTCATGTTATATGTTTGTCGACAAAAATGAGTAATTGAAATTCGTGATAACAAAATGCAGGTTGGAGCTAGGGCATGTAAAACCGGTTTTCCGGTTTTGCGCAAAACCGGAAATCGGCCAAAATTTAACGATTTTTAAAAACCGGTTTTGAGAGCCAAAACCGGAGCTCAGCTCCGGTTTTTCCAATACTGAGTAACAATTAACATTTTGATTTTTATCAACATTTTTTTGAACACTCTCAAAAAATAATTCAATTTTGAGGCATCAAATGTATCCGAACCGAACACAGTCTGCATCTACCCACTTACACGCCTCCCTCCACTACCCCCGCACGCTGAAGAGCTAACTCTTCAAGAGCAGCTAGAGATGGAATTACACAAATGCAAGAGAGAGAAAGAGAACCCCCAAAGATCGGTCAGAATTCGACCTGGCTGGGTTCGTAAAAGTAGAGCAAGCCATGTATGAAAGCGGAGGGCATCGGGGTATGTATCTCACCGAAGCATATAATTATTTATTATGTGTTCTACCAACAAGTGTTGAGAGCGAAAGGGTGTTTTCGAATGCTGGGTATTTCTGTAACAAAATAAGAAGTTCGCTGTCTGATCGAATGTTGGATGCACTTATATTTTTGAGATCACATTATCAAGAACAGCGATCTCTTGAAAAGAAGTGATTTATGCTTTATTTAAATTAGTATATATAGTTGATTATTGATCTCTTTTTTAGTGCAATATGAATCATAATTATAATAATGTTACTTTGTAGTTTGTCTTCAAAGCTACAAAAATGTTGATTGTTTTGGTAATTGTCAGATGCTGATTGTGTTTTCTATGTTTAAAATATATTATTTTTGATAGGTACCAAAGATACCACAAACTTACTTGTTGTTGATTTGATCTCAGTTAATTAATCTATAAATTATTGTAGTTTGGATTAAAAAGAAATTTATCATACATTTTGTTTTATTTGTAGACTTAGTGGGTATTTAAAAAAAAGGTGTTTCTTTTTAAATTATACTACATTAGATTTTTTTGCTAAAACCGGACCTAGCTCCGGTTTTCGGTTTTGGTCCCAAAAAAACGATGTTCAAAACCGGTTTTGATGACTTTCCGGTTTTGCATGCCCTAGTTGGAGCAGTTCCACTGAATTGATTCCTAATACTTTCTTGTAAAGAGTTGGGTGTACAAAAAATCATTTACACATTCAGACCTAGTTATCAAAAATCATAAGGGAAAAGAAAATAGAAAATTCTTAATTTAGATACAGTAGGTACCTACTCTAAATCAAAATAGATTTAACCCATGAATCTTATTAAAATAGTTCTGAATCCTTTATTCTAATTCCTTTAACACTAGGTACTGTCTTTTATCGTCAGAAATCTGTATAACTGGACCAAATTCAAAATCAAATAACCTAGCTTATAGGAATAATTTATAAAACAAAATCTTACCAGCGGTGTATAGAGGGTTGGCGAATGTGACAACAAGCCCTGCTCTCATGGCTCCGTGAATCAGGACGACGAATTCAGGAATGTTGGGCAGGATGAGGCCAAGCCTTTCTCCTGGTCCCAGCTTCAATGGCCCAGCAAGTGCACACGCACACCTCTCGATCATCATACGCATCATGCCATAATCGTACGACCTGCCAGATGCACCACATGTCTAGGAGACGAAAACAAGTAATGAATTATTATTTCTGCTGTGATAATTTTAACAAAACTGCATCTTTCGTGAAAAGACTTTCATACTTTTTTTGTTACCTACCCATTGTTTTATTAAGCTAGTTGACCTATGTTTTTAAACTACAAAACATTACATGGACATTTGGTTGGTAACTGCACTTGGTTAACCTTTTTCTTGACTGTCGCCCAAAATAAACACGAAGATAATTTTAGAGACTTCATTGAGAAACTTTTGAGACATTTTAATAAAGATACATTATTTATTTGCCCTACGCCATTTCGAAAACCGCTGACATTAAACAACCTTGACCTAGTGACCAGTAACATTCTACAAAATAATACCCGGTAGTGTAAAGTACAAGAAAAACGTTAATAATAGAGTAAATAAATAATAAACTATCTCTACACGCGGTCCAAAATGTAGGTCATTGGACTTTGCCCCGTATTTATAGACTATTGTATAATTACGTAACCTTTATTGTATCTACAGAAATGAACTCCAAAGTCCAGTGATATTGAAATAACGTATAAACTTGTACAAGAATATTTGGCACGAGATCTTAGTCGTGGGAGCCCCTACATCTTTATATTCATGGGCAAAAAATACAGTTTGGAATATAAACGTACGTTTAAATTTTTTGTCATCATTTGAATTATTTAATGAAATAATTCGAATAAGGATTACATGTGCTACTACGTTTAAAATAACAATAACATTTGCATACCTAGGTAGGTACCTAAATCTCTTTGAAACGTTCCGACTACCGCTATATAGGTAAATAGGTAACCATAAAAAGTAACACCATATCCGTCAAGTCATAACTGCAATAGGATCCGGAATCTTTTATGCGATCCTAGCAATTTACTTATAAATTCCAAATCCTAGGCACTACAAAAAATATCTTACCGTATCAAAATAGAGTTCAATTTCAAATGAACCAATGTTACTATGGGCATCCTATACACCTTACGTACGTTAACAAGTAGATATTATTTTATATTTAAATAGTATTGTGAAGTATTATTACTGCGCTTCGATCCCTCACGTGCACTGTAATTTATTCTTGACGTTTCTGATCTCAATTCACATGTTTCTGTCTTTTTAGTATAGAAAATTAACTGTAATTTCCTTACAACTTCATCTTACACGAAGGGTATTAGATCAACTACATAATGGACGGCAACTGAGTAACTACTTGATACATAGAAGGTATACATGGTATTTATTTAAGCTTGAACTCTATTAAATTAAACATAAGATAGGTAGTTATTTGTATTTCCGTAACAATATTGGTTAATGACTCATTATAGGTCATACAATTATCATTTGCTATGGAGGTTTTAGCAATGCATAGTGCACTGTAAACTATACCTAAAATGGAGCTATGAAAATTAAATCATAAAGACTGTAAAATAAATCTCATTTTATTTTGAACTCGGTGCATGTTTAGACAAAATGTTCTTAGAACTAGCTACTATATAAGTAGGTACGATTAGCATTATTCCAAGTGCGATTGTTTGGTTTGTAAATGCACCCAGGCGATAAGAATAAAATCCCCAAGCGTGGAGAAATGTTAATTTAAACTAAGCGATTAGAAGTAAGTAATATTGTTTAACAGTTGCTATGTAAATTATATGACTCCGAAAATGTCCTTGAAGTTTTAAATCTGTACCTACATCTAGTTATGTGGCACATTAGACGACTTTCCATGCCCTGTAATATGTCATTTTTTGGGAACCAATTTATTTTCAAATTATAAATCTAGAAATGCAATGTTTCTAACATCATTTTAAATAATTATTGCTAAAACTGAATCAATTCTAGTATCAGAATTAGACACAATCAAACTGGGTAATTTCCTAAATATTTCAACGCGACCATACTGTTGTCAATTAGATATGTTTCCAATTTTGTGAGATGCATGTTTGGCACAGCGCAGACATGTAGCCCTAACCTTCAAATACGAACTATTAATAAGTCCCTATCACTCTCATATAACATCCGTATAGTACAGCGAACTTTGTACTAGGAACAATATTCTTGCAGTCGACAATGCACTCAGATTTAATTGAACATAAATATCTACTCGCCGTCAAATAGCTAAGAACTAAAACAACTTTGCAATGTGATGTCTACAAAGCGCGATTTAGAGGTCGATATTATTTTTAATTTACATTTGCAGTAACCAACCGACCATGTCAAAATCTGATAACTATTTCATACACTACCGACCAAAATTAAATGCACATTTTGTTGATCTACCTATAGCTGACAAAATATTTAAAAAAAAGTAGGTACTTACCACAGACGGTGCATCCGCCCATGACTCGACGTCCGAAAACACAAAATCAGTTAAGGCCTCCTGTCCTACTTGAATTTCACCCCATGGCGATGTCAAGAATTTATTATCCACTGCAGTTGCAGTTTGAGTAGCTAAACTTCTACTCAAAAGACGGCTATACGACAACAGTTCTCTATTAGATTTTTTTCCATGTTTGCCACTCACGAACGAGTTAAGAATTTGCCGCGCTAAACTCCCGCGCAAAACTTTCAAATTGGACATGTTTCCGCTAGCAATGTTTTCCCGCGAAGCGTTAGCGCGTAAATGTTAGCCGCCGCCTCCACTGGCGGCTTTTGGCGCGTTCTCCGCGCTCGCCGAGGGCAAGGTCCATTTACTTATTTAACCTGTTTGTTGTGGCTGCGATGAAAAACTCATAGTAAACACTAGTTACGCGTTACGAAAACGGTTTCTTATCAGTCTACTAATGAATGAGCAACGATACCAGTCGCCTCGTGCGGTTGAAGCATACCAGCCGTGCCTAGTTCACTGATAACGATGACTGATGAACATTACTTAAAAGGATGAAGCGATAAATAAAATGCATTATTAAAATAACGACAACCACTTTATTTGTGTCAGACAAAAATATTCCTTTACCCGTTTGTCACTCTATAGATTTAAATCTTATAAGATAAAATTTAATTTAATAAATTACATAATAATATGTAACAATTTGACTTTCCGTCATTTTGAACACATTAAGCCCACATAGGTATTGCATTTGTTCCATGCCACATAAATAAAATAAAATAGACTATCACCTAATTATAGCATTTATCACACTTATTCAGGATAAATAAGTGGCTAAGGATTTATAAAGTTTCTTTTATTATCTTCATTTCTAAACATGGCAACATGTATTTCTGAAAAAAGGTTTCAATTCCTGCTCATGTTTAGGGTCGAATTTCCTAGTGAAACCGTACACCCTAGCCACTGATAAATAAACATTAGCGTTCATTTATAAAATATTTTACTATGTTTTTCTAATGACCATTAAAATATTTTAACTAATAACAGGAAGTAAGTATGTTTTGTATAATGCAGGTTTTTACTGCCCACTATTTGAATAACATAGTTTAAAAAGATTAATTAACATATCAATTACATAAATATATAGATAACATTGGAAAAAATTAAAACTATTATTTAAAAATTGCATCTAGGTACTTGTTTCGACAACACGTTCACAATTTAGGGACATTTAAATAAGAGTATATGTTATGAAGGTTGTTTTACGTCTGGTTCGTGACTTTTCTTTGCGAATGTTTGGTGGTTCATAAGTTCCTTGAAGAAACCGCATGGTTTCGTTATCAGTTCTTGGTAGGGTCCCCTTTCTATGATGACCCCGTTCTCCATAACCGCTACTTCATCCGCTGACTGAATAGTACTAAGTCTATGAGCAATAGTGAGAACAGTTCGATCTTTACTGATTTCCTTCAGAGCGTTGTCTACTAAAAATTCGGAGTACGCGTCCAGTGCTGAGGTAGCTTCGTCTAATATAAGGATTTTTGGGTTCTGAAACAAACAAAAATATCATTACATAACAATACGTCTTATACCCTGAAGAAATAGGTAAAGGGGGATATTAAAAATGGCGCCGTGACTTAGTTACAAGCGGACAAATATCCCATGAATTCCCATGTCTAATATTGCCTCAGACACAGACACCCAGTAGAATCTCAGACTCAGTATTTGTAAAATCGGAAAAACCCAATAATAATAATTTACCTGACCAGGGTAAAGTCAAAAGCCAAAAAGTATTTATTACAACTAAACGATAGACAGGTACTTTTAGAAACGTCAGAATAAATATGTATACTATAGCTCATCATCTATATCCCCATCGTCTATTCGTCAGTGAAGTGAAGCTGGTAAATAGTAGTCAGTGTTAGTCGTAAAAATACAATATATATTTGCGCATTACAATCGATCTTTGATTGATCCGGTTTTGTAGATAGATATTGGTGATAATACTATAATTATACCTATATCTAAATTTCTTTAAATACATTGAACATTGAACGTATAAGTACTTACGAATCAAGTCGTAATTTCTACACCTTATCTCAGACTCAAATCATTGAGTAATCTGTAAAAGTAAGCTTCTGCCAGCGCAGCGTTCCCGTGGAATAAAAACTGTCGTATGTGTCCAAGTTACCCTCTACGTGTGTGACGCATTTCATGAACATCGGTTTAGTAGTTTTTGCGTGGAGGAATAACAAACATAGTTACAAACTTTCGAATTTATAATATTAAAGATTGGAAGACAGTTCTAAATACTTTGAAAATTAAATAATATAGGTAATGATTTTAATTGGAAAACTAATCAATACGTATAAGATGATATTGCAAAGACAATCAGTGTTATTTCGCATTTTTTTTTAACAGACTTCATTTGCAAGCTGCGAGTCCAATATAATAATGGGTTCAGAATGTTGATGGGACTGCCCCGTTTCTGCAGTACATCTGGCATGTTCGCTCAAGCACACGTTGATGACTTCCATGCCATTATCAGACAGAAGTCTGCATCGCTGCTCTGCAGGGTGCGGGCCAGTTCCAACTCCATCTTGAAAACCATTGCAGGGAGGTACGATTCACCTATAATACATGGTATCGTGCGAAGATGTATTCCCAACAGTAGGCTTGTAAAGTTGTAACAATATCTCTATAGGTACTAACATAGTTTTTAAGATTTTAAATGTTTTCTTACTAACCCCTATGGATGCTTCACTTGTCCGAAATAAACATTATTTTATTTTATTTATTTATTTATTTGCAAACGTAGACCTAAAGTATCAGAAAGTGAGACCTTCTCAGAAAAACGGTTCCATATTTGAAAGTGTGGACTAAAATATTTGTTACCGTTGCCCTTTTTAGGTAAACAATTATAATATAATTTAAATGACATAAACAATTAAAGCACACTTCGAAGTAACCGCATACATTATGATGGGGAAGTAATGGTAATTATATCACCCGTGCTTAACTAATGCGTTTCATTAAATATGGAAACAATGCCTAAACTCTCATTAATATTAATTACTTTGTTTTTGTTTGTTGTTGTTACTTTAAGTGTATTTGTTAATGGTAAGACTTGGGACGTCATCAACCTTCCTGACTTAATAGGTGTTGGCGTACACTGAGCTAAGAATAGACAAGATTTTTTTGTACTTGTTATATCTTATTACCTGGATAACCGAGCTTGGTGTTTGTGTTTAGTAAACGACATTTTATGAAAATGATATGATTGCTCGTTTAAAGGTATTAGATTAATTGTTTAGGTATTTACTTTAACATGTTTTTACTTTTTGTGAGGCTGCTGTGAGAATTTTCGGGTGGAAACTGTTGGGTCAGAATATATCTTATACTATTAAATAAAGCGGAAGAGTTTGCTTTTTTGTTTGTTTGTTTGAACGCTATTTTTAACGCGTGAACCTCCGTAACTACAAGTCTGATTTGAATAATTCTTTTTGTGTTAGATTATCGAGGATGGCTATAGGCTATAAAACATCACGCTACGAGCAATAGGAGCTGAGCAGAGCCTGTGAAACCGTGCGGAAGTAGCTAGTAACTCATAATTAGACTACAAGTCAGTATATAATTATCTATGCTTGGCAAAATGTTTCTAAATTTTATGATTATTCTGTAATTGGATGATTAGAGCAACGAACAATAAAATAAATTTTATAAAAACCGTGTTGTTAATTTCTCCTCGTGATGATTTACCAATCAGGAGACTAGTTAACTAGATTTCATTTAAAACTTGAACTACCATGTCTAAAATGATGAAAGTGAAACCTCAACTAACGTCAGGTACCGGTGAGTGACGTGGCGCTCCAAGGGTTAATATAGCAGCATTTCAAGACGGTTATCTTCCGTCCCTTTTCAAGTGTGGGAGAGCCATGCTTCGGCACGAATGGGCCGGCTCGACCGGAGTGATACCACGGCCTCACAGAAAACCGACGTGAAGCAACGCTTGCATTGTGTTTCGTCGTGTGAGTGAGGTTACCGGAGGCCCAATTACCTTCCCCTTCCCCAATTTCCCCAATCCCTGAATCCCCAACGATCCTCAAACTCCTAATCCCCAAAAAGCCGGTGACGCACTTGTAACGCCTCTGGTGTTCTAGATGTCCATGGGCGACGCCGATTGCTTACCATCAGGTGATCCGTCTGCTCGTTTACCGGCTTATGGCATAAAAAAAAAAAACAAACTTACTGCTTAATTATATTAGGAGCTTGAGTTAAGCATAAGCATCAGTGTACGCTCACCCTTACGGAGAATGACGACCTTTATAATAAGAATGTCATTTTAATTATTAACCATTCATCATTTACCCAACGTTTGAACGAACAATTAATAAACTAGTAGAAGTCCAAAGGCTGATAGGGATGATGTATGAAATACCTATTTCCTTCGTCAGTTACATATAAATTTTGTTTTTGTAAAATCGGAAATCGTAACAAGAGAATAAAATCTTACTTCAACGCCATCTTTGTGTAATAATGTAACGTCATGTTATATATCAAATCAAAACTGAAAGTTTTTAATAGCACAAAAAGAGTAGCAACCTGCGTTAAAATTTTGGTGACCTAAATGCACGCTTTAAGCGGTCTGCTAATCTTGGGGACAATGATGAATCTTAAGGGAGAAGTCTCAGTTCAGTAGTAGAAGTATTCCAGCCGAGGATGAAGATCCATACGTACCTTAACAATAGCCCTAGCTATAGCAACCCTCTGTTTCTGTCCACCGCTGAGCTGTCCGCCTCTAGCGCCGACCTGCCTGTTAAACCCGTCGCTAGTAGCGTGTACTAACTCTTGTAAATGCGCCGTGCGAGCTGCTGCCATCCACGGCAAGTCTTCCTGTTTAAAGAAATAAGTTTTAATAATCTTGTCATATTGCATGTCATTTTGAGGATTGGCAAAAAGTAGGTGTGTAAGCAAACCTCTGAGCTGATTGGAAACTGACGCGTGTGCCATCAGAACAAGTCCGCTCTAACTGTTGTTAGTCTTTCCTCAAAAGACCACTACAGAATCAACTTGCACGGTTCTTACACATTATACTTATAATCTGTCTAGACTTTAAAAGAGACAATGACCTCTGAATTTGTTTCGGGGATTCTTCTCAGAGTAGTCAGTTAGAAAATGCTGGCCCTCATCTAGTAATTTAAAAATTGATGTGTAAAAGTGTTACCTATTTGAGTTCATAGAGAAAATAATATAACTATAGTAGCTACACTGCGTGCGTAGCTACTATAAAATAGTTCTGTTGCGATACCGACATTAAAAAGACATCGCAGAATAAAAAGAATAATTGAATAAGTCGTACTTTTTTATAATTTATAGGTCGACGTTTGGGCACCATCTCGCCTGGTGGTCAGCGATTATGTGAGCACGCCTACCTATGAGCATCCAGGGACTTGAAGATACCCAAGTCATATTTGTCAGGAAACACAACAACAATTTCGTATGATAGAAGGCAGCGAGGGCCCTCAACTTAGATATCTTTAAACTTACTCAACTTTATGTGATGTATGTTAGAAAAAAGAAAAAATAGTATTAATAATTATGCCATAACAATTTTAATCAAAAGAAGCATAGCGCTCTATCTATAAAGATCCAAAATAGCTTGGCACCTGTATTTGGCAAGGTTCTTTAAAAATTTACAAACAATTTTAAGTACATAACCTTGCCAAAACCTTTACCAATTTCGAAGATCGATCACAATGATTGATGAAATCATGAACAACTGGAGTGATAACTCTCAAGACATTGGCTACACAGCTTCGTGGTAAATTCTAATTTATTTTATAAAACCTTCGCAGTAGGCTAGGGCATTTTTTTAAGGGTGGAATCATCGAATGACTGCTCCCACCTGGGTGAGGCGGGAGGGAGTGTCAGACTCTTAATGACTAAAAACCACCCCGTTCCTTCTTCTACAAAGGTTACGAATCGAATCGAATTCTATAGATCAAGATTTAAAATCATGGAGACCTATTCAATTCATTGATGATAAACATGTTTACTAATATCCAAACAAATAATATATGTTTTGATTATGTAATTATGTATTTGAATTGAATAACATGCTTATCTAATAGAGCAACAGTGACATTAGTGAGTACCTATACTTTATTATTTAACTTCACGTCATTATTGTCGAAATATTCAAACGCCATTCAATTGTAAGTCGCGCTTAAGTGTTGTTCTGTCTCTACAAATTCTATGTAAAATGACAGAGATGGCACGATATTAAGTACAACTTAAAATTGAGTAGCCTTTCAGTATTCGGGCATTTGTGGATTAAATTAATGTAATGATTTCTTTTGAGAGCCTATTGCCATATACCGGGCACATTTCCAGACGCTGTGCCGTACTGAGATTAAAAAAGAAACCAGTAATACTTTTCCCGAACCGGGAACCGAAACTCCTTGCCCAGTCGCACTTGCGACCACTCGGCCAACGAAGCAGTAGCTAGTTACAATAAATGCAATAATATAATAATAGTCATAATTCTGGAATATTAATCACATGAATTTCTACAAGTCTGTCTTTTGCCAAGTCATGCATTGTCATGCTCATATGTATATGACTGGTTCAGGTTAGTTTTCGAATAACTTATATTAACTCATGATGAGTTGTAACTGTTACGTTACGTTTATAATATTATTATTTATTTGTTATCTTTAGATATTATTGATACTCGTACTAGCAGTCTCATTATTATTATCATCTTATTGCATAACATTCTTAAGGGCAACGATCCCATATATTGTCATAACGTCTAGTCTAGACAGATATGTTTAATTAATTTAAGAATAAGCTCATTATTATTAATTGTAAGATAGGTATCATATCACATCCTTCTCCTTCATTCAACGAATGCAAACGACATAGATGGAGACCAATTAGTTTGTTAAAAAAAAACGATCTTATTGCCATAAACAGGGCTTTCTTAAGAGGCGGGAGGGAGTGTCAAGACTCTTACTGACTAAAAACTACCCCGTCCCTACTCCTGCCCTTGGAGCCGGAGCCCCGGTAAGCCGTTAAGTCCTCCGCGACTCCGTATCGGCATCAGCCCTATGGGGCCCTATCCGTGATGGTCTGATGGCTCTATGCAGGCGCGCGCGGATCGCGACGCGCCGTACGCTCGGGTCTGGTTTTGGTCGGGCGGCGAGCCACCCATGCTCACCATCCGCAGGCCTGCGCTTACGGTGGCCGGAGATCGTATAACCAGGGCTTATTACGAGATTGTTTTATTTACGTTTACCCGGGTTCGGCGCTCTGATTGGCCGGCTCCAATGAACCAACCGTTAAACATAGAACAAACTCGTACGAACCCTCAGGGCATAGTTCAAAACTTCGTACTATTACTAAGAAAATCGATGAAATCGGTAGCAGACCTCCTTTTTTATGATATTTTATATCTTGACTCAGTTACGCGTCAAGTTTGATCATTCATCAAGTAAATAACTGTCATTTAAAGAAAAGCATTAAATCCATAATCTTTAGTATATTATTTACTGATACTTACTTTATCATTTATGTCGTTTAATAATTGTTTATCGAGATCTTCATCTAAAGCACCATATAGAATATTTTCTTTTATTGTTCCGCTAAATAATACTGGTTCCTGCAACAAATATGAATAAAACGATTATTTTGTATATTGCTAATGCAAACTATATATTTTATAAGCACCATCCAGCACCACAAGAGTATCTAACTAAAGCTCAGACTTAATTTTCATATAATAATTGTTAAGATACCAAACTTCCCTACTGCTGGCAAGTTTAATAAGAAAATCTATAAGTAACCCGTGAGGGTTCGATGCCTTTGGAGTCAAAATGTACATGTAATTTGTGTCACCACAAATTCCACTTAGAACCATTTTAAAAAATATACTTTTCTATCCTCTGCCAGTAGCTTCGCCCGCGTTCCCGTGTAGTAAAAAGTGGCCTATCTGTTATTCCAGACCATAGTCTACCCCTGTTTTTAATTTCATCTCGATCCCTTCAGCAGTTTTAACGTGAAAGAGTAACAAACAAACAGACAAATATAGAAACTTTCGCATTTATCATATTAGTAGGATGTATCTCTCTATCCCTTAAGAAAGGCGCAAGCAGGTAAGTAAACCCAGCTCGAAAAACATGTTTTACTATAAAATTCAATTCACTTTTGCCTGAATGCTCTGATAACTGCGATAACCTTCGTATCTTGAGATAACCAAAAGTACGTCCAAAAGTCACGTAATAATCTAAGAAGCTAAATTTTGCGCGGCGCTATAATAATTAGGTTAAGTTAATTTGATCTTTGTGTACCTATTTTCACTTTACATTAATATTCAAGAGTAAGAAACGAGGTTAATCTATCTCTTTGATGGATTGAACGACTGTCAGGTAATATAAGTATTAGAAAAAATAAGTAAGAGCAATTTTATAAAGGCTTATTTTTTCCTTAATGAACGACATATAATAACGTCACATTTAAATACTATCAGCATTGAGAAAACTTAATACTCTATCCTCTCTTTTGCCTCTAAAAATCACGCATAACATTGATATATCTTATCAATATTGTCAACAATGATGTGTTAAAAATATGTTCTTCATCATTATTTATTTACGGAAACATTTCAATTATATGCCACGTCATGTTTAATCGATATAAAAGTTAAGTTTTAAAATTAAAGCTGCCACAGATGTAGAGCGTCTGTGGCCTTGCCTGCGTAGTCCAAACCATGATAAGTTATACACCGAAACTTTCCATAGAAATCACATTGCTGATTCCCTATGACACCGCACCAAAAACTTAGCTCAGTATATTTTTAATTACTCGCGTTCAAATAGATACTAAAAGAAAACTTCTTTTCACATGTCAAGATAACTGTTTATAAAATAAAACATACCTGGCTAACAAAACCAATGTGACTCCTCAGCCATACGGGATCCAAGTCTTTGATATCCACGCCATCTAATAGCACCCTACCCTTATTAGGGTCATATAACCTCATTATCAACGAAGCTATAGTACTCTTGCCGCATCCCGACCTGCCGACCAAGGCTATTGACCTTCCCGGTCGAAGGTGCAAGTTCACTCCTTTGAGTAACGGCGCTTCAGCGTATGTAAAGAATACGTTGTCTAGAATCAGTTCGCCTTTAGGCCTCTGTGCTGGTTTCATGCCACCTGGAATTTAATACGAGAAGATTTTTAGTGTTTCTATGTAGATAATATGAAGACTATACTTTTAGTTTTTATCGGTATAATGCATACCTACAAAGTGTAGTCTAAAATTGCTGTATTTTTTTTAATATTCAATTGTGAAATTTGTGTTAAATAATTAGAAAAACGTGATTCTTATCCTAAAATTCATGTTTCAATACTATTTTTAATGTACTAACTTATTTAGTTACTAAGCTATATATACATTATTATCATCCAAGTTTTAAAATTGTACTGTTGAATCTTACCAGCGAAAAATTTTGCGCAAGTACTACTTTAACTGAGCAAACAAAATTCTGCACAAAATTTACATAATTAAACATTGCCAATGTACCGTAAAGTCTACTAGCATAGCGCAACTTCAATAACAATGCGCAACACATCTAATACCTACCTTTATCACAGTATAGTCACAACAACAAAATATAAAGCAATAATGAATACCTGAGACAGGAATAGCAGGTTGTCTATCAATAATATCCCACAGCCGAGTCGCTGCACCTAGCCCTTTATTCAGTTCTGTATAGAAAGTGCTTAGTCCACCAATACTGATGCCCACGTACGCAGCGTACAAAAGGAATGACGTCAGGTTACCGACTGTGAGCTGTTCTGTAGCAACCATACCACCTCCATAGTAAAGGACTAGGATAATTATCGTGTTCCCTGCGAGTCCCGTCTGTGGGTACAAAGTTATAAAAGTATGTAAAATGTAATAATAATATTCCTATTCCATAAAAAAGCAGAAATATAAAGGATAAAATTACGATAACTAATTACTTATGTATCATTATGAAACATTATGAAACACTATAATGCTTTGTTTATTAACAATATCTCCAGAAAGTGATACATAACAAATGCAGTACGTATTTTTCGCCAGTTTGCGTTCATCCATTGTTTCCAGGTTAATTTACAAACTAGCAAAAGTTAAATAAGTTATGACAATACTTGGTGTATAACATCGATATTGAATTCAAGGCAAAAAGATACATAAATCAGGATTTCTCTGAAACTTAAATTGAATAATATGTTTCCGACATTTAAAAAAGCAATGAACCGTAATAGGTAATAATAACTGATTGCGTTGCTTACCAGTCCATAGAAGCTGCCAACAGCCAACGACTCCTTATATGCAAGTGTCAATAAATTTTCTATTCGTTGTGCATAAGTTTTACACTCTGCTTCTTCTTTACTAAATGCTTTTACAGTCTTTATGTTAGAGATCTTCTCTTCAGCCAACTGTAAAACAAATTGGGTAGTTGCCAGGGTAAGAAAATTAAAAATCTAATTAGTCCGTCAGTTAGACAATGAAAAAATATTTAACACGTATTTTTTTTATTTTCTTGTTAGCTAAAATAGTTACATAAAATAGATTTAAGTTTAGGAGCGGAAGGTCGTTACGTCACAACGTGCTGTAAAATGTAGCACGCTGTGACGTCACACGATATTTCATATAAATATATCGTCGAAAGTATTGAATTTTGTGAGAAAAGAAAAAACACGTGTCTAATGTTTTAAAATAATCTACCAGACGGACATTAAAATAAAATTTAGGAAACTACCGTATTACATAAATTAACACATCTTTAGAACATTACTCAGATGCGCAAAACAATCAGTACAGCGCAAACTCGGATGTGCATTTATGTATTCTCCGGTTTCTTAATTTGATTTATTAATTAAAAGCAAGGTACTTCAGCTAATTTATAAGACAGAAATGTATAAACATAACTCAATTCAATAAAATTCTATACTCCAATCAGACTACAATGTATTATTAATTAGTAGTTCACCTACTATGTATGTTTTAATTACATTATTGATGAAAGTCTAGCACTGATTCTTCAATACATAGTATAAAACAAAGTCCCTTTCGCTGTATGTCCGTATGTATGCTTAGATCTTTAAAACCACGCAACGGATTTTGATGCGGTTTTTTTTAATAGATAGAGTGATTCTTAAGGAAGGTTTGTATGTATATACATATTGCACCCGTGCGAAGCCGGGGCGGGTCGCTAGTGTTTAATAATCTTTAGCGCGATAAATGCGTTAAAAATATGGTGCATGGAACACACATTAGATGATAAAATGTTTGTACGAATAAAAAGATGCAAGTATCTATGGATATTTTTAGTTGCCGATCCGTGGAGCACCAAAGTGGTTGATCTAAGGTTCCACAGATAAATTTCGGTACACATATGTATGTATCCTGTATACGTCGAATTCGTGGACAAGAAATGGCAATCGCTCTGCATAAAATAATTGCGACCACCCTGATCTTTCTTAGCGACTTTCAACCTTATCACAAAGACGGACGAAAGGAAATAGAAATAAAACATTCATAAACGCGTATTCTATTTGGTGCTATATAACTAATATTAGTACCCACTTCATTTTATATTCTGATAACATAACAAGTAATTAAGAGATAATATCAAAACAATATGTAGTTGGCCGTGTACGACAGAAAAATATTCCAATTTCAGGGGGAATGAGTTAATATAACATTAGAATTACATACGATGCCTATAATCAAGTTTATTACTAATATTATTCCAACGGTTCTCAAAAAGAATGCAATAGTGAACTGTTCGTCAGTATTTTTTGTATATTAATCTTCAATAGGGAATGCGAAAAAACAGTTGTAATACCGTATTAGTTGATTTATTTGTCAAATATAAGACATCAAACCACAAATCACATAAACAATCTATTGATTTTACGAGTCAACGTGACATTTCAATTTAATAAGCCATTTTATCACAACTACAGTCTACAACTATTTATAAACCACAATTGCTCACCCATTGTATAATAACAATGGCATCACATAACAAATCTAAGAGCTATAAAAAGGCCCCTACCAACCAACCAAAGATGAGTAGATGAGCTGTAGCTAGGGGGCACGATAATTCCCCTTGAGTTTAATATAAGTTACCTCGCTAGACTCAGCCAATGCATCCTGTAGCTGCTTTGTAATACCGCGCACAAATCTCCCGTATATCACAGCCAACATAGACACCGGGGGCACCACACATAACCCAATCAGCGCCAGGGATGGTGACATGTAAATCTAAAAAAAACAGACAAAACACCAAATAAATATCTTTTGAATAAAATTTGATATAAATAAAGAAATGGCGTTATATTCCCCGAAAGAGATAGGCGGATTCAACCTAGAGTGCATCTAATTGTTATTTGTGCCACCGCCACTGGATAGGCAGTTGAGCACGCGCATCTCGTCGTGCCCCTCTGTAACCCAGCGCCGAAGGCACTTGCACAGTTTGCCTTTGGGATAATACAGCTCTGCTAAAAGAGTAGTCTAGATTGATGTAAACATTTTACATAAAAAGTCAATAACATTGTCCTATCCGATAATTCAACCTTCGCTCAGCTATCACGAAGCGAAAAAGTATGCTAATAGTTATAATAAAAAAACATTTAGGTCTTAAATGAAAGCTAATTATTAATTTTATGTTAAGTAGATAAGATTTAAAAAATATATTAATTTGCATTCAGTAATTCAAAATATCGATTATGTAAACCACTTAAGATAGCCAACTAGCTTTGCTTATCCAAATTAATACATATGTTTGACTTATCAAAAACTGAGCATATAAAAAACTCCTTTGTATTAAGACTTCATATAGATAATAACAAAGAAAATTAAAATAGAGACTAAAATATTAAGCAATAAATGAAATTTTATCATTTCCATACTATCAAATAAAAATTTGCGTACTATTGAATAAATTAATGCGTTTGCTATTTAAAAGCCAAGATTTCATTTAAGAGACTGCCCCGAGTGTTCGCAAGTGCGACTCAGGGTAAGGGGTCTCGGGGTTAAAATCCCGGGTCGAAAAAAGTATAACTGGCATTAAAAAAAAACTCAGTAGTAACACGGCGTCTGGAATTGTGGCCGGTATATGGCAATAGGCTCACCCCCTATTACATGGGCCTTATAACGTAAATAGTGAAAGGTGGATGTTACATTGTACAGTGCCATTAAGTGCCGTAATGTCCGATTCGGAGCCGCGGAGAACTTAACGGGGCTCCGGCTCGAAGGGCAGGAGTAGGAACGGGGTGGTTTTTAGCCAGTAAGAGTCTGACACTCCCTCCCGCCTCACCCAGGCGATAGGAGTCATTCGATGATTTTCCCTCCTTAAAAAATAGTGCCGTAATGTACACCTATTCCTCCCCTTCGGGCTAAAAAACGTGATGTTATGTTGTGTGAATAAATTATTCTTAAACATATTTTCGAAAACAACAACGTTGGATGATTTTTAAAAGAATTAAAAAAGAGGTTGTGACATTGTACTTTTTTTTTATTTAATGATGACTAGTCAGGAAAGTTTAACCAACAATGTTTAATTTATAGAATAGAAAGTAAACTAATCATCATGACAGTACAAGGGACAAAACAAGCTAATGTAACTATCTACAATTCATTGACACTTGCTATCTACTCTCATACATTTAGGCCACTGAAAGTGAGATGATGTAATCTGACCCCAATGTTACGATAAAATGAATTATAGATATTAGATATCAGTTTTGAATGACAATATGTATGTTTAAGTTATTGTCTATCAAGTGCATGCAGTGTATGCAGAAGTAAACTTCAGAGAATTTTTAATAATTTTTTCATTAGTTGTTTGTTACTGGTATTATTAGTTATATTAGTGGTACTGATAAATTAAAACTTAAACATTCAAAAAATTTTTTCTCAACTCAACAGTCAACTTGTACAGAATATCTCAAGAAATACATGGCAAAGAATTTTATTACTACTTTTAATTCAATTCATATTAAAATAATATAACAAGGTGCATATTATAACTAACTATCATAGCACTGTGTGATTTCTGTGGACCATGTTAGACAAAGTGGCAAGTTTATCTAGTTCTTACAAATCAATAAAAAATATATCTTACCATCATCCCAGTCCCCGCACCAACCATGAAAAGTGAGCGCAACCCGTCACTGACATTTTGACTAAGGTTCCGACCAACGAGCTGTGTGTCAGCTGATAACCTGTTTACTAGTTCTCCAGTTGAAGTTCTGCCAAACCAAGCAGGTTCTTGTCTCATTATTGCACCATAAACTTGCTTGCGAAGAGATTGTGTCATTCTTTGTCCTAAAATAGCATAAAAGAATTGAAAAGATGATATAAATTCAAGTATTTATGTGCTTAAACATAAATAAAATTAAATGGTTTTTGTTATGATAGGTCTTGTGTTTTAACAGAGTATTTGATTTTGCTTCTTTTTATTTTGTACGAGTTAGATACTGTTGCAACTTCTTAAAAATTCTCAAACTATACAATTTCATAATAGATATGTTTTAGGATTTATTTTAAATACTGTTACATTAACTCGTTGAGTACCGGTTTTGTAGACACAATTATAGAACAATAGGTTGCGGTCACCGGTGACCGCTTGGTGTTTGACAGTTTGATTCATTTAATTTGCTGTTAGTATTATAAATTGTAGCATCTTAGCAAGTTAGCATACCTAAATCTGTTTATATGACGATGCCTTCCAGTTAAAAATTAAAATCTTCAATATAATTTAAGTTTTATAAATTTTGTAACAATTACAATTACCTGATATAGACATCAAATAAACCCTGCCAAAGTTACAAAGGCCTCCAATAAGGAATACTCCACACAACATCAAACATAAAGTGTCCAGCTTCTCCCGGGCAGCGCCCAGGTCACTTGTGCTACTGTATATGATATCCAGCACCTTTCCCAGAGAGAATGGTATAGCCATAGTAACACTAGACGATACTACCAGGAAACCAATAGCACCTACAAACAAAATAATAGCCATTCACTATTTGTTTATCATTATTTTCTTATAAATAGCACTAAGTGCTATATGGGTACATACCAGCTAGGGTCCATTTTTCAGGCTCTGCTAGTGAAAATAATCGTTTTAAATCTGATGTCTTTAATTTGACATTGATCTTTTTCGTAGATACTATATCATTTTTTTCTTCAACATTTCCGATAGGCTCATTTTTCTTATCAGCATCCACTTGGGTTGTATACCACCGGATCTTAGGATTGAATGTCCCATATTTATTATAGAAGTTTCTTTCATAATAATTTCTTATTACTGGCGTTTTGTATCGAGAGTATAACCTGGTTCCACACTGTTGACACAATGAAGCTTTTGTCGGAATATTAAACAGTAACTGTGAATTTTTACGAGTTATTTTCAGTTCAAAACTACTATAAATTAATCGCTGTAACATTTTAAATTTTTTTTAGAAGTTTCTAACTAAAAACCAGACAAAATAAAACACCTCATCTTCCCGTAAACATGATAACTGTCAAATTTGACGTTTCATGAAAATTAAAAAGTTAAAACTTTTCCACCATAAAAAAAGTTATTTGAAAAATAAAGCCGATGACACACATTCGACAGAGGTACGATTTAGCCAGTAAATGAATATTATTTATTCATGTAATTCATGACAAGTTAGTTAAAAGAGTGCTGATTAGTAGCTACCACCTCCACTGGTAGGTACTTACTGTACGTGGAGGTGGAGGATCAAAATATGTGTGAGACTCTGGCACATGGCGGATTGTTATTGGTTTGCTATCTACAGTTGTGTTGATATTTGCCTAATTATGAATAACACGTATAAAGAAATACACTTTTCAATAAATGGTACAGACAGTGATATGCATAACCACGAATATAGCTATATCCAAGCTATATGCCATTCGGGCCATTCCCAAGTACAAACCATATAATATTGTGAACTACAAGTCTGATTTGGCATAGTTTAAAAATTATAAACTCATTATTATTTTACTGACTATGGAAAGTAGCCTTTTATCTTCTTAAATAACATAACGCCCCCTCCCTTTTCCCGAAGGGATGTGCAGACTCGCTATTTGCTAATCAGGCCTTTGTTCGACAGTCGTTCTTGTTCGACTCTACGCACGAACCGATTCTAACTAGAATAAAAGGATTGAAGATGAAACACAATTACCTTATATATTTTGTATTATATTTTTATGTTGTGTTGTACATACATTTAACGATTGAATTCATTAGAAATAGAACAGTACATGAACAATAAACAAAAATGTTCGTTTAATCGGTCAACATAAATATACGTTTCATGATAGTTTTGAAGATATTTTTATTTTATATATTTTGTAAGTAGATGAGGATGAATAAAATGTGTCTCGCGTAAAGATGGCCTATGCATGATAGAAACTCCACCATCTAACAAAAAATAACCAAATACATACAGATTAAATATTTATAGTAGATAATCAAACACATTTTTCTATTATGCTATATTTTAAAATACTTTCCCTTTTCTATAACTTCCAATCTTATAACATTTTCTCACATCTCACCATACAATCCTGTAATACTCCATACGATAATGTAGACTGAATAACTGCAGCATTTCAAGTCTATAGTATCTAACTCCCAAAATTCATTTGCAAAATCCTATAAAAAAAGGCATTTGAAAGCATGAAGAACCACCTTACGAATTCCTTGCTTTATTGTCTGTTGTGGGCACGTCATAAAGAATCGTGAAAAGTGTGCTGCCAAAGATTGCGAAATTGGATGAGTACATAAATAAAAAAGCTAGAATAATAATACTAATTAGTAGACAAAACAAACTAGTGTAAAAAGTATGTACACTTCTGCACTAGTTTAAGAATAAATCTTATAATTTCCTCCATTACTTTCCTTTAATTTTGCTTATAACAATATGAAATAAAGTCTTCATACACAAACAATAACAACTGTGATTACAAGTAATTAGACATCAAATTCTTATCAGTTTAAGTACTATTAAACCATAAACATTCATAATTCATCTAATGGCACAGACAATAAATATTAGAACTAGCTATGACATACAAACATCGGAATTTTTATTCAGAAAAAATATTGATAAAACTTTGCAACACATAAAACACGAGAGTTTTTTATTTATTCCGCAGTAATACATTATACCTACTGATATATCTTTATTTATAAATATTATATAATTAAATAGGTCCGTATTACGGTACAATCTAACAAAATAAATAAATATCCAATTCACCCCACAAATATCAAAATGAAATGCAAATAAAATGTGCACCTTGCACAACCTAACATAAATTACTGGACAAATTGGAAACTACTTAAAATTAAAGTGGTACATAACTTACGAAATAGACAAGTTAACTACACAATATTAATTTGAATACATCAATTAAACTAAAAATTACTGCTTTTGTATTAATTCAACTAAAAGCATATTATTGTGTAGTGTACATAAAGCTTAGTCAATAATAATTAATAGTACGGCTAAATTGGCTTAAGAAGCTCATATTATTGCACTGAAATGTAGCAAAGAGCGCACAAATATTAAGAGTATTACGCATCACTGGGTTTGTTATACAAAATGTGACCAATCATCAAGAGACAGGCAGCAGCATTCCTTAATTTTCCAGAGATCTAGCCAACTGCCAAGTATAGGGATTGCGGTAAATCCCCCCTTATCTTAAGGGGAGGGACTTTGTTCAGCAGTGGACATTCTCGCAAGGAGACCTAGGAGAAGACACAGTAAGTAATGATGTCCTCATGTTTATGACACTATTACACAAGCATACATAGATGTTGCTATAATTGTCTACATTTTACATTTCTGAGAAGGCATATTTTCAATACAATGAGAAACGACAAGCACTGTTATCTCTCAATACTTGAACGCGCCTTTAACAAAACCCTTTTTGCTAAATATACCCACAGGAACAAAAAATACTGGCTGTGCAATATATTGGGTGTTAATTTTTAAACATAATGTTAGATATAATTTCTCTGTCATGGCTCTAATATAAGTTTAAATAAATATTTACTGTGTGTAGTAAACTTTGTAGTAGAGGGTTTTGGATCGCCATAAACTGTAAGTGTTGTCGAACTTTAATAAGTATACTCCTTCGCCGGGGTATGTGTGAGATCCGGCGTACACCTGAAACAAAGCAGTATTTAATTATTATTATTTTAAAGAGATCGAGTTGTTAACGTAAAAGACAATCTAAAATAAACCATTTTCTACATATTTAAATACTATACCTGAATAATGTTTGAATCTCACAAAAAAACATCCTTATCACAAAGAAATAAGAACTAATTCACAATACATACCTCAGTGTGACAATCCCGACGGTATACAGGTACTACAAGACTGGTAAGTGGGCGCGTAGATCCGACGGATGGTTTTTCTGGACGCTTTTCACCACCAAGCTCGAGGTCAGCCCGGGTGCCATGTATAGTATATTCGTGGAACGAACCTAAAACAATTATTGTGAGATACTTAATAAAAAAAACAGATTAAGTAACATACAGGGTTGGAAGTCTCGACAATAATTGCGACTGAAACCAATCGCTAAGTCAGTAATTAAATTAATATATTTTCAACTCTATACCAAAAACATAAGGTTCAATTCACAACGTTGATATTAATGATTTCTTGTTTAAAATTATTAATTTATAGTAATTCAGTAAGGTCCAATTACCATCTCCAACAGGATATTCGTCGTCGTCAGCGTCTTCCTCGTCGTCTTCATCACTCTCGGCGACGTGCACAGTAACCTCAGTGGTAGGTGACTTGGTCCACTCAAAATATATTCCGAAACCTGAAAAAAACATTTAGTTGAGTTACTACGGAACATCTTTATTTAGTTTGAAACAACTTAAAGTTTTTATAATAACTATTGTGAGACATACTAAATTAAATAAAAACGCGGGTTACTCACGTGAATATACTGAGAAAAGCTCTACTAGTTTCGAACCACAGAGGGGTTCTCACTCACTGCTGCTGAGCTCACTGTGAGCTGCGCGACGTCGCCGCGACCGCGCACGCTGCTCATGAAGAAGAACCCCTCTGTCGTTCGAAACTAGTAGAGCTTTTCTCAGAATATTCACGTGAGTAACCCACGTTTTTTTACTTAAAAGTTACCAAAATAATTTTGTTAGCAGTCACTTTCATTATAAACATGTTTATCTGCTACTCATTATTTTTATTTTTACTACATTATTTTACATACAAAAGATTCCTATGCAAATATTAAACTCCATAGTTTGTATTAGCAGATGCATTTTTAACACACAGTTTTTAAGCTTAAATACTAGCTAAAATTAGGGTTTTTTTTTTTTTTAAGGGGGGAAAATCATCGAATGACTGCCCCCGCCTGGGTGAGGCGGGAGGGAGTGTCAGACTCTTACTGACTAAAAACCACCCCGTTCCTTCTCCTGCACGTCGAGCCGAAGCCCCGGTTACCCGTTAGGTTCTCCGCGACTCCGAATCGGCATCGGCCTTATTGGGCCCCATCTGTGGTGGTCTGATGGCTCTTTGAGGCGCGCGCGGAACGCGACGCGCCGTACGCTCGGGTCTGTTTCTGGTCGGACGGGGAGCCACCCATGCTCGCCGTCCGCAGGCCCGCGCTTACGGTGGCCGGAGATCGTGCCGCGATCCCCGACGCCCGGTGTGTCCTTCGCGATGGCTGGGTTGCGAGGAGGCAGCGCTTCGCTGCCTCACGCGTCCCGCCTCCTCCTTAGCTAGCATGACTGCTTCGCAAAAGGAGGAGACGGCATCCCAATCCCCCTCGCTCCGCATCATGGCCTGCACTAGGCCCGGACGCGAGAGGTCGCCATCGCCGATCACTTCCCTGAGGACACGGCGGTGCTCAGCCCACGAAGGGCATTCTCCCACCGTGTGTTCCACCGTGTCCTCAGGGCGGTCCTCGCAGTGATGACACCCGGGCGTTTCCTCCCGCCCCATCAGACACAGGTACCTCCCGAAACTTCCATGTCCGGTGAGGACCTGCGTCAGGCGGTAGGTGAGGACGCCGTAGCGTCTCTCAAGCCACTCCTCAAAGAGGGGACTTACCGCTGCGATGGCAGCGAGCCCAGCTAAAATTAGGGTAACGGGAGCAAAAAGTTCCGTACATTATGTCAATGACTTACCTATATCGTAGTTATCAGTAGCAAATTCCCAGCAGAGGCACCTGGCCTTAGGGTGCGTGGGTACTCGTACGGTAATAGTCTCTCCATGACCGACGGTAAGCTTGCCACCACCCTGCTTAGCTGAGCTCTTGAACTTCGCTATATCACCTCGAGTCCACATGCGAACCTCCTCCACATTGAGGTAACCTTCTGAAATAGTACAGTAATAACTTCAAAATCATATCTATTACAAAATTTTCCAAAAATCGACACCAAAGACTGTGTGTTTCGATTTTTAAGTTTATTGCTTTGTTTTACGATTGAACGTCTGCTAGTCTTTAATCTACTTACTAATTACACTCGAAGTTAGAATAGTCAACTCTAAACCCTAATGAAGAAACATGCAAGTGTAGGACAATAAGTTGCTGCCTCATCAGTGAAATATGCATTATAGCATACAAGATAAAGATAAATATTGAATATGCATTATGTATTCTAGTTAAGCATTTTAGAAAAAAACATGTACAAAGTTTGCAAAACAACCAGCACATGATTTCATTTACATACAAAAGCTTTCTTGACAGTGGCGTAACTATACTGTTCGGGGCCCGTGGCCTATTCATTGATTGGGCCTCAGTTCCCAATGAAAAACAGAAAACTTCAAATGAAAACCTCCAAACGCCCCAGCTGGGGCACGTGGCATTTTGCCGACTTGCCATCCTGTAGTTACGCCACTGTTTCTAGAACTCGGTACATAATAATAAAGAATTTCTGCTAACATACATAGTGATGCTATCAGAAATAGATATCAATTTTAACAATAACTTTAAAGTGTAAAGCTAATAATCTGACTGTTATTTATAAAAGATAAGGTTTCATTGTTTTACAAACTTCAAAATCTGATAATAATTGTTTGTACAATTTGTCCACCATACTATGATGCTATGCCAGCATTAGAGTTTATATTTAATTCATTTAAAAATAAACCCTTACCTACTTCACGATATTGTGCCACGATTACAAAATATTATTTAGTATTGATTTTCCTTTTAAACATTACCAAAATACCGAAAATGTAGAGAAGGAATATTGTATCGAAAAACATTTGATTGGTTTTAAATTACAAATAACCTATCACCAAGTAATTCTTGCCAATAAATATTGATGTTAGACAGAACTGTTTTAAAAAAAAGGTATATAAATTAGGTCATACCATCATCATCAGTATTGTCTTCAACCCTAACCTCTTCGATGTATTCATTGTTGTCCGTCTTCTCCAAAGTCTGCATTGACCTGTAGTTTAGTAGATCCAATTGTAAATAAAGAATATCCAGATAATAACAAAGTGACACACTAAAATACACACTAATAAAATGAAACTCTATTTGTTAATGACCACACAGCACTGCACTAAGGATATATGTAACCTTCTCAACTTTTACCTTTTTGTATCAAGTGAAAATTCCATCAGATGAATAAAAATTTTAAAAGCACAACAACCAATGAATATTGACTACAAATCAATTATTTATTTAAATTAATTACAAATTGTATAATAAACTTGAAATAAAACACCAAATAGAACTAAATACTCACTTATCCATAGGTGGAGCTGACTCAGCTTCATTCAAATTGCAATCAGTATCAGATTCCTCATTAGTCTTCTCCTTGACATTATTAGTATTGTCATTCTCTTTGTCTTCGGCCACGTTTATGTTAGAGTTAGCGAGCCTCTGATCTACAGCCAACTGCTGTATGTATTGCTGGTAGTGCTTGTCCTGCAGCTGACGAATGAGGATAGCCTGCTGGTCAAAGTTACCAGGGTACTGTTGCTGAGCATACTGTAGGAACTGTTCATATGTCTGCGCATTGAGAGCATCCTTTATTCTTTGCCTGAAAAGTTTCAATGAAGTTATTAGTACGTCAACATTTTATGTTTTAAATTGGGTAAGTAATTTTCCTTACACTTGCTGCTCCTCTGTAAGCTTATTACTTTGCTGTTTCTGCTTCTCCAACATTATTCTGTTCTGTAACTCCAAATGTGCTTTCTCTTCTTCTTCCTTCTTCATCCTGTTAAAATTATTCAAGTTAATATCTGACCACAACTTATGTGCAAATAAGATTTAATTCAAACTCACTCTTGCATTTTCTTCTCTTCCATATCCTTTTGAATTGCCTCCAAATATGGTTTGAAAAGAGGGCACAGCCTGTAACAGAGGGTAAGACATTCATAATTATAGAAAATCAACCAAAAGTTGTAGTCAACTCAACAGTATAATAATGTGAGACAGTCTTACCTGTCTAATGTGTGGACAAAACCAACCATTGCTTGAACCTGAGACATTTGTCCTAATGCCTGCCATGCTGCTCTCCTATCTCGTCCAATAACATCTAAAACTCCTAATGGGGGAGCAGAATTCACATCCAAAGGGCCATGCGATGTTTGCTGGGTGTATGCAACCAGTTTCAATCTATCTTCATAGCTTAAGTGTAAAGCTTTGCCTTCCTTATCTATAAATGTAGTACAAATTCAGTCACAAACAATGCAACACGTAAATACTAGGAAGTGCTGCCTTATATCAATAAAAAATAATGAGCACTTAAAACAGCGAACAATCAGATAAGTCGTAATTATTGTAGAATGACGATATAAAGGGAACTGAAATAATTTTCAGATGTCTTGTACATTTTAATCAGAAAATAAACTTTAGTATTGTTATAACAATCATGGTTTAATTAACTAGAGAAATATTCAAGAAAATTACCTTTGTAAAACGCTAGTCCGTGTTTGTACACATCTTTCAAAGGCATTCCCCATTTTCTTTCTTCACTTTCCACGATACCCTGATCGGTTTCTAGGCGGACCTTTTCAGGATTCACTTTGTAATTATTTTCCACTTTGCTAGCCATTTTTTTCTAAAATATAGATTTTCGCAAAGCAAATTCCAAATTGTATCGTCTACTTTTGACAGATAAATGATTTGTCTCGTTTTATTTTTAATTCTACAGACTGAATCAGGTCTTTTCAGACAATATCTTTTTACAAAAAAAAAACACGCATAGTTATTTTCGTCTACATCTTCCGTTATAAATATAAATGAAAAAAAAAACGTAAATAAATCTTTATCGTCCATATTAGCCCTGACTAAAATGGATAACCAAAAATATTTTTGGAAATCAAGTTGGAAACATGTAGAAAATGTCAAGCATGTTAAGTCAGTCACACACCATACACACAAAAATATTCGGCAAGGACTCGCTCAGCAATATAAAAGTCATTTGCGTGCAAAGGAAAATTATAAAAAATGACAGTGACAAGTTGTCTATCTGACATTTGCGTCACATATACGTCAAATATTGCGTGTTTTTCTAGTCTTGCTCGTTCATTTCGCAGAAATAAGAATAAAAATAGTCTCCCATTCGTTTTTATTCGTGTCAAAATTTGCAATAAAACTGTATTACGTGCGTGCTTATAGCAGAAAAATGTGTGATAAATTACTTGAGTGTAATTTTAATTTGAATACTTTGTTGCAATATCCTTCCATAATCACCTTGTTTACTCCATGCTCTGTAATATAGTTACATTTACTTTCCTTTTGTTATCATGGAAGTGAATCCTTTAAACATATTTTTCGTGAAATCTGACAGCAAAGGTGACAGGTTGCTGTTCAGATATCCTTACACAACAGAGAACAAGGATGAAAGTAAACAGAAAAAATATGGTCGACACAATCCTTACGCCATTAATTCTACAGAGGACTTGTTACAGAACCCTCAATCGCAAACGTCAAATATTTGTAAAGGTTAGTTCTAATACGTCATTATTATTTGATCTACATTCTGATCACTATTGGGATCAATGCAATCCAACAAGAAATCAATGTTACACTTTGCATATCAGTATCTATAGATGAACTACATACCTACCGCAAGAGCAAATGAATATAAATCAATGTTTATGTATGTATTTACCTATTGATATGCAATAGAACACTATGATAATGCAGTTTGTTCAGTTATAGTAAATATGTACTCCATGCTGTACTGATTGTCACATCTAGCATTGTATTGATAACTTGTAATGGGAATTCATGTCTTAAATAAAAAAGATATGGTGACTATTTTATGAATTCTGGAAAATATTCCTTTAGAATTATTCTTTCAACTAGAATAAACAATACAGTTATTGTCTTGTCTCTTCAGCAGTTATTATGGAACAATGTCTTACCTTTCTCTATACTTTACTTTTGTATATGTTTTTATAAACAATTTCCTGTTTTTGTGATAAATAAGTAAACATACCTAAAATAAAATTATTTTGTTGACTTTGATTGGGCCCATTAGAGCCCTACTTGATTTTGCGGGTAAAATAATGGGTTACCGGGTTTCCGGCCCAAAGCAGGAGTGGGATGATTTTTAGTCAATAAGAGTCTGACACTTTCTCATCTTACCCAAGGCTAGTGTACTCACTAGATCCTCTTCCACCTCAAAAAACAATAGACTTAGGCTATGACTGTGTACAATACTTTTGATATTATAGTAGTATAAAAATTTTGCATTATATACTTTTTTCTTTTCAAATTCTAGGTCAGCTAAGTGGTTTTACAGATGAAATGTTATCAACCTTGTTTGCTGTAAAAGCCGAGCTTTGTAATAGAAAATTTGAGTTAAAAGTGAATGATGTTAGGTTTGTGGGACATCCTACTCTACTGCCATACAGAACTAACAAGGATGATACGGCCACTATGATCCTTATTAATATTGTCTTTGCACTGCAGGCTTCTGCAAGTCATTCTGTTGGTAAGTTTACGTTGATGTGTTTATTTGTAAAGACAAACATGTTACCATCATTGTAAGTAAAGACTGATGGTAACTTTTTTGTGTTGTTGTAAACAGAATCCTTCGAAAATGTAGACACATTAAAAAAAACATTTATTAATAACTTTTTAAAAAAAAACTCAGTTTTGACATCACCTGTTTTTGTTTTTTGGAAGAGTTCTGTTTACACCCTAAATAGAAGAGGGCAATAGACCAGCTGTGATAATTTTGATCTGAATCTGAATTTTGTCGTTACGCAGTATTAACCTCAAAAACCAATTGGATGAGTTATTTTTAGCAATACAATGCATGTATTTGTTTTTTATTTCAGTAAAATGTTACTATGATTTGAGTAAAAGACTGGGAAAAGCACTGAGACATGAAGAAAAGAGGTGTTCATATTTGACTGAAGAAATGAAAATAATGGTAACAATAATAATAATTATTAGTATTTTTCTCTTATATTACATAACATCACGCTTTTTATCCCCGAAGGGGTAGACAGAGGTGCACATTACAGCACTTAATGCCAAAGTACAATGTAACACCCACTTTTCACTATTTATGTTATGAGTCCAATGTAATAGGGGTAGAGCCTATTGCCATTTACCGGGCACAATTCCTGACTCCATGTTACCATTTTCATCTTATATTATTTAAGCTTTAACTTGCACTTATATTGCATGTATTCTGTAATTCTTCAAAGCATATGACTTTTCTAGCAAAAATATGGAAATAGCATGACATAATATATAATAAACTTTCAATAAAACAGAACATAATGTTTTTTATTTCACAAAATGTGTTTGCAGAATTACTGCATACATACATGCATATGTCGCTGCACGCCTATCTCTTATTGGCGTAAGCAGAGACAATGGGATATCCGTCACGTCTCTCATTCAATCCACATTCAGCAATCATTTCATCTACGATCATCAAATGAGGGTATTTAGTGGCCCTTTTTAACCGAGTTTAAAAAAGGAGGAGGATTCTCAATTGGGCCGTACAAATATGTTTTTTATTACAATCAGATCTAGAGCAACTTCTGTTGAAGTCTTTGAACATTGTTTATAAAGTTGCTTCATTATTGATTGCACTAATCACAAAATTCATATTTTAATATTAATATGAATTTTACTTACTACTAAGGATGTAGAAAAACTATAGATGATAAAAAAATTAAACCTCCTTTCAGTTAGCAGCTCATGATGAGGTGTCAGTTTTGGATAGCGAAATAAAGAGTGACAATGATGAAGATGAGGACAATCTCCGTCATTCCGTCAGTTCAGCGACGTACAGCAGTGAGAACGGGGCAGATAACGCTCCGAAGTCAGCGTTCCATCTCATACTACAACGGAGCTCGCTGGCGAGGTCCATGAAGTCTGTGTTTGAAGAACTGAGTAGTACTGGTAAGTTTATTAACTCGTCGAGTACCAGTTTTGTAGACACAATTATAGAACAATAGGTTGCGGTTACCGGTGACCGCTTGGTGTTTGACAGTTTATGATACATGAAAATTGGGATGACAGGGTATGAAAATTAAAAATATAATTAGTCCGTAAGTTAGGTAATGAAAAAATATTAGACACGTATTTTTTTATTTTGTCGTAAAAAAATACAATACTTAAATAAAATGAATCAAAGTTTAGGAGTGGGGGCTAAAATGTCATTTCTACGTATAAAATGTACACAGAAGTGATGTCACGTGACATTTTAAATCAATATATCGTCGAGAGTATTCGTTTCTATATGAAAATAAAAAATACGTGTCTAATAATTTAAATTATTTAAGAGACGGACATTAAAATAAAAATTAGGCATCTACCGTAATTCAGTGTAAACACAGTATTCGTTTTACACTATACTTGAGAACAATATTAAAGTAATTTCATTACACTATTTTCGGAAAAGTTGTACTCAATGTTGATCAAAAATGATCTTTTTTTGTTATGTTTTAAGGTTCAAAATAGTTTTTACTAACTATTTAAATAATAATGTTAATCTAAAATTCGATGTGTATTATAGTAATTAACTTACGGTATGTGTTTGCTGCATAGTTTAATAATTGCATAAATTAAACATAGTATGCGATAAGTGCATTCTTATGGTGATTCATAGTTACATAGGTAGGTACTATAAAAATAATGCATGTTATGTCAATATAGTGCCTATTGACTTTTATACTTCCGCGATTCGTCTTAGTTCGCACGTAATATTGTTTATTACTATTGCGTTACTAACTATCGCTGATAACCAATAGATACCCTACTGATTCCATTTGTTTCCATATATGTATGTATGTCATGATAGTTGCTACTATAGGTAGCGGTAGATATATATGTAGGTATCTAATTTCGAACTATTTTATTTGGGATCAAGATTAGATTCACTTTCATCATAACATGATGACTGCCTCGCTGGCCGAATGGTCGCAATTGCGACTGCCGGGCAAGGGGTCTCGGGTTCGATTCCCGGGTCGGGCAAAGTATTACTGTTTATTTTTTAAGTTCTCAGTAGTAGCACGGAGTCTGGAATTGTGCCCAGTATATGGCATTAGGCTTACCCCCTATTACATCGGACTTTTCTCATAAATAGTGAAAAGTGTGTGTTACATTCTACAGTGGCGTAATGTGCACCTCTGCCTACCCCTTCGAGGATAGAAGTCGTGATGTTATGTTATGTCCATCATAAAATTGCTAGTGAAAAGTGGTTGTTACATTAAAACCAACGAAACAATGGACTTAACCAAGAATTGTATTGTAAACCTGATTGAAAAAGAGTTGCCTTTGGAGTTTCTTGCTCGTGCTTCTCCATAGGAATCTACACTTTGGAACAAGCAAATAGTTTCACTATAGTACTGACCAACAGGCTGACATTTTTTTATATATCTATTTTTATTGTTTTGACGTTCAAAGGGGCCTTTCTGGTCTAACTAAAATAAATGATTTTGACTTAGTATTTTATGGGTACTTTTGCCTACCCTTTTTATGTAATCAGTGACAAATAATCAAGTAGTAAGCGATCAGCCCCGCCCATAGTAACACCAGCAGGGTCAAGAATATTGCCGGCCTTTTATTTAACCTTTTGAACGCCAGAGCAAAAACACATGAACCTGCCTTCGACACCAAGCCACAAATTCCACGCAAATTTCTACGAAAGAAATAGATTCCAATAATTCGTGTTTCTGGTTCCGCTTTTTCTGTCATGTATTTGTGTCGTTGACGTCCAGGGACAGTTTTCGCTTGTCGCGTATATGTGACATTGGCGCTCAAAAGGTTAAGTACGAATAACTTTACGTTACCTAAATCCATATAATATTACACTCATACAATGTCTAATAAGATTATTTTCATAATTCCCAGGTATAGTTCAATGTCGGATAAATAAGTGGGTATTGTTGTCCTTCTGTTTGCCACACAAAGCTCATCAAATACACAATAGAGGGTTAATCATTGAACCAGAAACAATAGACAAATGTTTACAGAAACTTAGGCCTTATCACGGTATATTGCTTATGGTAAGTTGTTTTAGAAAATTATAGGTTTTAGTTCAATAATTTATGTATTTTAAAGATTTGGAGGCTTTTATAAAAATAAATGAAAATGTTCTAAGAGTACGGATATTTTACCGCGTGATCTATGTATTATTCTGTTCCTGTTGTCATAACGTCCTTTTATAGCATTTATACAGAAGCAAAAGGATGATTCGATGTAACAAATCTATTTTAAATGGAAATTTTAGTTCCAAATAAAAGTGCGTTCAACTAAAAAGTCTTTATTAAATGTGTTTGTCTGTGATTTAAAATAAAATCAAATATCTGTTTTATTTATATTAAAAGTTGTTTCATAAATTTCCAGGTGAATCCAAATGATCTGCTAGGTTCAATACCTCTGGACAGCAGCTCGGCTCTACTAAGACTGATAAAACTATACAGCCCACTGAAAAGTTTACAGACGCTCGCTATTGAAGCGGACCTAACCCTAAAACAGGTATTTACATGAAATAAAACTCTTATGTAGTGCATCTTAAGATTTATATTACAATAGTTTAAATTAGCCTTTTTATATCTCAAAGTTTATATGTTTAAGAAATTTATTTTGAACATTGTTTCCAAACACAAAAGTTCAGTTAAATACAAGGTACCTACACTCTTCAGAACCATATATCCCCCCCCCTGATAACAATCTAGTTAGATAAATATTGTATCTGTGCTTATTACATAATAGGAGTAAACTATTCTGATTTCAACCTTATTTACATTAAAATAGAGTTCTTATTCGCATCACTTAAACAAATTATTTTTATTTCAGGTGTCTCAACTAACAGGACACTTGGTATACTGGGCGAAAGCGACAGTGATATATCCTTTGTGTGAGAGTAATGTTTACGTGGTCGCTCCGGGAGCTAATGTTCATATACACTCGCCTCTGGTTGAAGAGTTCGCAAAGGAGTTCCCTACTCTGTGCTTGTTACAGGTACCGTATTAGCAATGCACTTATTCACTATTACGCGCAATATTTTTGTATAAAGAGGCCTGGATTTACTGATGTATTCCTACTCTATAGCTTTATAATTCTGCTATTAGTTATGAATATGTATGTGATGATGTGACTTGTATATTTGTAAAGGCACCCACGATAAAGGAGAAAATCCAAGTATCCAACACGCGTTTAAAAAAAAACATTTTGAACGAAAAAAACTCGAATAAAAGTACCTATCCTAATAATGGTCTATAATAATACATACCCATACGAATTTAAATTCACCATTGTCCGTCAGTTTTTTGTTGTAGTTTTAGAACATACTCGCACCACTCCCGTTTTGAACAACTTTTAATATTAGTTGATTTTATTCTCGTTGT